TGTGTGTGTGTGTGTATACACATAATTTTTTTACATGAAATTTCTGTTCTATTCTGATGCTTTTGTACTTTGGGAGGTGGGTGAAGAAAATATCCTTTCAGTAAAATATTTACCTAATTCATAGAAATTTGCTGTGAGGAGTCTGCTTGGAAAACTTGGCCAAATGCATTATGAGTATTAGAGTGGCAGAACTGAACATTTCAGTCTCTTGTCTCACTTTAGGGGGAGAAAAAAGGAGCTAAAAGCTGGAGGAGAAAGTTGATTAGCTTTTTAACTTTTTATCATTTGGATTGGCACCTATTAAGACCAAGCTGTAGCATTGCCATTCCTGATTTCTGTCTATGGGTTTTTTCCATTTAGATATCCCTCTGAGCACATCAGCTCACCAAATGCTATATGAATAATTTTAAGATGCTTTTGCCTAAAAGTACCAAATAACCAGTTAATAGTGGTGTAAACATTAAGGATGTTTATTATCCCACATAAAAAGGCCAGGAGTAGCAGGTTCCTGTTTAAGTAATCATTACTGAGAACTCAGGTTCCTTTTCTTTCTACTTACCCTCAAGTTCAACTCCTCATGGTACCAAGATGGCTGCCGTCGCTAGTCTTACACATCACGTCCTCCTTCCTCCCGTTGTATCCAAAAGCAGGAAGAAGAATTTCTTCTAAGCTGTGCCCTTTACAAAGGAGGAAATCTTTCCCTGGGAGCCCCAGCACACACACCCTCTCATGTCCCATGACTCTGCAGCCAGAGAGCTTTCCCCAGCACCATTAGCTAAGGAATACCTCTGAGGAGGAGAGGACAGAGCTGTCGGGGGGACACCTGATGATACCACCATGTCTGGCAGTTCTGGTATCAAAGGTCTTGTTTCAACAACTTTCAGTGAAAGGAAAAGACTTACACAAATGTCCTCACTTTCTCTGTGCCTCAGACTGCGTAGTGCTTCTGCATTCTGTGAGTGTCTCTGGTTCGGATAATGTCTTTCTCCCACGTGGGATGTTTCACTATCATGTATATGCTTCAAACTTTATGATTGTTTTTCCTGGATACTTGCTTTTTCTCCTGAAAACCACAGTCTTCCTTCCCACAGCCTTCTATTCCTATTTGGGAAGTGGGACTCCAAGCACAGAGGAAGGTTAAGGATATGGGGGTAGTTTCTGTTTTTCTGCCCTTTTTCTTTTTAGCCTTTACAGTGTCTTGTAATCATGAACTCTTTGGTGCATTTTCTCTGCCTCTGCTTCTCTCTCCTTCCTTTTCTCTCTGTTCAATTTTCTGCATGACCTCACACTTTATTTTTGAAAACTGGGTGACTAGAGAAAAAAAAATCACCTGTAATTTTACCACTCTAATACACCCGCTTTGTCACCACTATACTCTTTCCTAGTCTTTTCTTCCTGTGAG